AAGCGACATCGCCGTACACGATCCAGAAAACTTCCGTGTCAGAATTTCAACTGCATCTGTGCGTGAGTGTTGGAAATGACACCATAGATCGCCTCATACATGAAACTGTGTGCGATATTGTTTTTCATGCAACACATCTGTTCCAGACAAGGATTCCACCGTCTATTCCTGGAGGCATTTGATAGTCAACAGATGTATGCGATCCTGATTGTGGCTCAGGTCGAACGCGACTCCAGGTCCAGTTGAAGGCTCTGAGATGTGACGTACTGTTCGTCAATCCCATGGTAGGTATTGATCGGCGCGACTGGCGCAAGAGGTGTACCAAGGGGAGAGCCAAAGACGTCGCTCAGAAGAAAAGGTCAGTGTAATGCTTTGTTTATGCGACTATCTGATCTCTGGCGGCTACTTCGATATTCGTCTGACGAATCTCGTGCGCGTGGGCTGACCTTCGGGTCATGCTCAGGCTTGATCCCTTTCTTCTCCTAATCTACATGCGTTCAGCTCAGCACAATACCTTCTTCCATCCGGCACGAAGTCTCAGGTTGGTATGCTTAGCTCATTCCGCTGTTTCGTTTCCATGAGGCATAAGAACGGATTTGGTAGGAATCAGTATAGATATTCATGGAGGAGAGGGTATGACATTGAGGCTGACTAATGTGGGCACGTATTCAACAATTGCCAAAAGTGTGTCTGACATACCAATCGTCCTAACAGTCAGTTTCGAGGCGGCTTCAATCTCTCAGTCATTCTGTGCCTTGATGATGGGGGATTATAAGCTACAGTGCAATTGCAAGCATTTTGAGCTTTTTGAACAAAGGTGTTAAATGTGGAAAAAAAGTAGCGCTGAAGATGCAGTTGTCAATTTCGTCATGAGTAAGCAACACTTTTGCTTATGCGGTTGAACTTTGTGATTGAAACAATGTTGAGAGTATATAGTAGCATTGTGGAGTTCTGGTGACGCCCAGAGCCTACTTCCAAACCGTCAAAAAAGCATCCAAATGCCAATAATCGTACTGAGTTACAATTAGAAAGTCTAATGAGCAGTCAAGAATGCATAAAGTGGTCCTCATTAGTCCTATATACGGCCTCTTCAATTGAGGGGTTACTTAGTGTCATAGAGGCGTCTGAAAATAGGGTGTGGATCCTCCCTTGCATTTGAGTGGAGTAGATTCAACTCACACTTAGAGTGATGATGTGATCCCGTGAAGTGGCAGAGGAGTGTCCAATCAGCTACTCCCTCAGCCGTGATTGGCAGGCTGGTTAGAGATGCCTTTAATGTCATTGGTCAGGCACATTACGACTAAAGGAAAAGTTCTGTGGTAGTGATTGCTTTCAATAAATGCTTGGAATTGTTCAGCTGAGTAGTAATAGGATTCCTGCTGGTCCTTCGCAGCTCGTCAACGTACTTGGATAACTGCAAGCGACTCAGAAAGGAAAGCTCCATAAGAAGAGTTTTGAGGGAATGAAACAGTTGGGCTTTTTAGCTGAGAACAAAACACTACTTATTCAGATCCAATGCCTCATTCTTCTTCATGGCAAAAATCTTGCCCCACGTTCTCAAATGTGCATTCGACGCACTCATTTAACAATTTACTCAAAATATCAAAGTAAATCATGAAGACGGGAAGAGGACGACGGTCTGGTGATTATTCAGCCCACAGGTGCTGTTTACCGAGCACTGTGCAGAGTGATACGCTAGAGGATTTACAATTCGACTTCATCGTTAACATTCTTTCCTGTGCAGAAGTTTACTTTCATCCAAGTTGTCCGTGCCATCCACGCATTTTTGGTCAAACTAACGGGGTCTTCAGAAGACGTAATTTCGTGACTCTCCAAGAGTCCCAGCGGGAGCGATGGTATAAGAGACGGAAAAGTAAACGCTAGAACGTAGAAATCAAGGCTCAAAATGTCATAGAACTGCCGATGTTCGCTGCCCTTTACAGGATTCAGCATAGCATCTTTACGAACTGATAAAGGTTTCGGTCACTGGTCTAATTGAAATGGGTTTAGTAACTATGCTATAATCCTCCCAACAATTTCTCCTTTAGATTTTCTTGATACATTGCCATCTGTAATAATTTTAGTCACATATTTCCCAACTAGTTAAGTCTGCACCGCAACGAACACACTCTATCACATTTCAAAACACGAAATATTCTTAAAAGAGGGGAGGATGCTGGGCGTGTTTACACCGCACTGCTCCCAAGCGCTTCTATTTCCCGTACATAGTCGCCTAATTTAACCCCTTAACAGTCTCCGGAACATGCAAGTATAGTAAGTTTTGTAATGCTACATCATCTGCAAGCGAAGTTCTTTTGACAATAATTTGAATAATCTCACCACGTGTGAAGAATATTGAGCGTTTATCACCTAGGCGACTTGCGATTCCCCAAAGCAACATATCAGCAACTGGTTACGCGCTTTAGCCGTAAAGTAATTAAAAAGAACCAGTTTTCGGGCTGATATATTAAGTGGAAGAGCGACTAGCCATGCCAAGTATATGAAAAATGAGCCGTGCGCGAAGTCGTCCTCCTCCGGAGTACGTCGCTTTCTCCTTCTGTGATACACCTTCATCTTGTATGTCTTGCACGTCTTGCTAAGAAGACGTCAAGCGATTTGATGTGAACCACTGTACATTAAATATGCATTAGCAAGTGACGGTGTTTGGAGGTCAAGTGAGCCTAGCAAGTGCAGCATCTTGGTCCAGTAATGATTCAAATCAAGCAGTGCAGCAGTCAGCAAAGCGGTTGGATTCCTTCTTGGCTCTAGCATTGAAAAGGAAGCGAATTCGCATGAATGTGAGGCCAAAGCAGGTCTTGACAGCAGTAGCAATTGAAATTCGGTGAAGAAACTGTGCACGCACTTGACCACTTCACCCATGTGGCTTTGTTGTAAAATTCTAGCAATTGCCTCTGCTGTGGAAAGGAAACTGTGCCTATGCTATTGAGGAGATCATCAATCGTCAAGTTGGTGCGAAACAATACGACAATTACCAACTCTCAAAGGTTTTCCAGGGCTATAGCCACAGGATGCAAAAATTGTTCCTAAGTTATGCCTGCGAGTCTGCAGCATTTTGTCGAATCTTACATAATTTTGCGCTCAACGTTTCAACATTCCAAAGCATCTCTTCATCTGTACACCTAAAGTCACGTCTCTTCGTCCTAGAGTAATCATTTTGCCCAAAGGTGATGCGAACATCATGGTGTTCTGATGAGGCGGGCGGTTCACGCACCACCCGCATGTTTGCAGCGATGACTGCCGCTACTGAGGCCAAGGTCCCCACCGCGAGCTGGAAACAGGGCCACTGTGATCGGCAGCTTCACCCACGCACAGGTGTGCAGCCAACTGTCTTCGAAATGGTCACAACCCTCACAAGTCCAACTACGGAGTCACTGAGTGGCCGAGAGACTACACTCGGCACTGAGATGCAGGGTGGGAGTGACATTTGGCAGTGTAATCGTATAGATATTGAGAGTACGCACAACTTGACTAAAGGAAAACTTCCTTATGGTCACACGCTAGGGGGTATGTGACTCGCTACAAGGTGTGTTTGCTGTCGCAGTTTGGGGTGTTCGAGTTGGACTGGCTCTCAAAACCTGTGCAGGATTTTGCTGACCATAAAAGTCCGCACACATGGCGCCTGTTTATGTGTCATCTGTATCGTGACCTCGGCCTGTCACACAACAATATCACGACGTCACAATTCTGGTCGCCTTTTTATTCAGACAATTCAAGTGCCACTTAGGTGAGATTTGTAAAACGCGACGTGATCGAGCTTCCCAACATTGCATTCAAGGTCATGACTTATCCCATCTCCACTTGCAAAGTTGCTGTTTTGCAGAACTTCCTCCCCCTCGACAGCCAACTGCTGAGTGAGAAACCCCAACATGTGCAATACAGTTTCAAGCAAGGTCGTTCGAGTTGCAAATCAACAGTTGTCGCCACCCACTGAGCAATCTTATCTGACAAGGAAGGGAAAGCTGTTCTGTGAGATTGTTTTGACTGCTGGCGTTGCAGACTAGCTGGTACGTTGGCATGAACCTCTCGTCACAATCGGCTTATGGAGTGCCAATGTGAACTTTAACTCAACCTTCTGATACATCTGCTACTGCCATTTGTGTCGGTCTCATGCTTATCACAGAAGAGGTCTCTATCAGGACGGAGGCACGTGATGAAGCGCATTGGTAAACTACGGGAATATTTGTCGGCACCGTTAGGAAAGAATTGGTTCGCTGAGAAAGGCGTGATTTTCGGTCAAATACTAGAACAGGCGAAATTTGAGCTAGTGCCTTAAAACGCTGTCTATAAATGCGTCCGCTTATTCCTCTGCTTTGAAATTATTATATTTTGATCATCATTTTAACTTCTTAAATGCGGGCCGTGCTACGAGTGAATGCAGGCATGCAACTCACTCAAGTTTCTCCCTTAACTGTGAGGCTTTTTCACTTTATAACTTCCTATTTGGGACAACATCTCAAAAGTTGTAGCATCCATTTATCTATCACCATACGACGGTGGACACCTTTTCACACCGCTTATCTTACGCTACGCCACTTGAACATTGACCCATGCAGTGGATCAGTACGTGGCAAGTCACGAATGCCGAAATCACTCCCCTCCAATGGCAGCACCCAATCAAGTCACTGCTCATGAACGTAGAGTGAGTAACCATCCCTTAGTTGAATGGTTAATGGACCACCCCTTCTTAACCAATGGGAGGTTAAAACCCAGTGTCCCATTTTCATTGGCTACTTTATTGACGAATGAGAAAAGACCTGTCCAAAGCAATTCAATCACGGGCGTCGAAAGCATCACATGCGCATAGCCTTTGATGACGCCTCAATGGCAGATCATTGCTCTTCTTCTCATTTGGTCGCTGCTCACTGTGCTAGTGGCAGGTGTGTGCTCCACTTGTTGCCTCCTGCCTTTCTGGGTAGTCGGAAGTGTTGAGCTACCTGCCACTAGAGGCAGGCTCATCACCAGTGCGAGCCATCTGGGCCTCTTTCGTCGATGTGGCTACCCAGCTTACCAGCCGAATGGAGATGTTGAATGGATTCAGGGATGTGGTTACTACCCGGCGTTGGAAAGCGTGCCACATTGGGTCTGGCGCTTGGCTTTGGTGCTTCTCATCATAGCTATCTGCCTTCTCGTTTGTCTGGCGTTCTTTGTGATCTGCTCGGCAGCCTGCATGTCTCTGCTGCAAAAGGACTTGAAAATGTCGCGAGCCTGCTCCTACGTTCACCTTGTTGCAGGTGAGATTGTGCTGTGTGCTATCAGAAAGGGGGATTGGTGAGTCATCGCAGTCGCCCACCCGGTACAGAACGTTAACAGCTGCTTCAGTTCGTTACCTTGAGGCTGCATTAATGTGGAGGTCATTTGCCATAAATGATGCAAAGGGCAGACGCTAGACCACCTAATTAGGATAGGGTGATGTTCCTAATTTTCATTTCAGAGCTACCTGTTCTAGAGGTGTTAGTACTAGGTGTGCCATTACTTCCAGACTGTGTCAAAACGAACTCTTGTTAATCGTCAAGGGGAGAGTAAGTGCTTGCTGGCACACCCACGGCTCAGAGCCTCTGCGATTTGGTGGCAGTTAAGATTGTGCTTCAAGGTTTTGGGCACGTTTCCTCTTGCTCTCGTTTGAGATTATCACTGCTGGGTGCTGCTCTGAAATTCGACAGCCATTGATGGAAAAGGTTTCGAAAACTTGTGGAATGTGCTTTCAAGTGTCCAAGATAGCCTTAGGTTGTCTTCGACCACTTTGCTAACTCTTCTTTATGGCCTCCGAGTGAATTGAAAACGACAACGAAATATGGCACAAATTCATGAAGAGAGATGTTTCGAATGAGCCTAGGTGAATTTTACATGCATTTCATTTTCTTCCAAGTGTCTCCCCCACCGAACACTTGCCGAGGTCTTTTTGCCTACTGTGCTTGAAGCGAGGGCCGAAATGGGGTGAGAGGGAAAGTACAGTAGACGAGAGGAAGCAGAAGAAGTAGTTAGGGGAATGAAGGAGTTTGGCAAAATTAAACGCACTTACTGAGGCGGTGAAAGGTCTGCAATTTAATGATGAGCACAAACAGTTGTTTTCTTTCTGGCTGTCGCCCTTTCACCAGCAAGTCGGGTAGCACTTTAAACGGTACTAAAGGAAGACTGCGGCGACCTTGTGCAAAAAGTTGTTCGAGCCTGTGCTACGAGCATTTAATTTGATGTCGGTGAGGGGAAGTGCGTGTCAGCACCAAGGACCAGAAAAGTGGGAGCAGCAGTAGGCGATTCACTGCGGCACGAGGCTTGAAGGTGCCTAAATGCTTTCAACACCATCCCAATCTCAAGCCACCAGCGAAGAAGTACTCAACGAGGCTTTGACTAATGAGAGGCGAAATGGGGGAAGTGAGGCAACTTGGTCGTTGCAGTAGCGAACAATTGCATCCATCACTTCCATTTGGACTTACATCGTACGAGTAGTTTTGCGAGTCTTCCCTTGCGGACAACCG